AGGGAAGGGCATGGAGCGTGGGGACCTCAGGAAGCTTTCTCATGGCTCCGGGAACAGTTTCCTAGTGTGTCCCACCATGTGGGACGGGTGTGTGCGTGCGTGCGTGTGTGTGTGTGTGTGTGGGGGCAGGCCCCTGGTTTCTTCCAGCTAGTAAGAGGTTCATAGGTCTACCTCAAATTTATCTCCCCTCTTCTTTCTTCTTTCCCATTTTCAATCATTCATTGCCGTAAGCAGCAGCCAGAGAGCCTGTTATTAATCTAGTCTCAGAACAAATCATTTAGGTTCCATGTGTGCAACTTAGAGTTTAATATGCCTTTTTGTCCTCACGTTTCTGTTCCCCATGAAGTTTTACTCAGTTTTCTCACTCTTTTAGGAAAAATAGCTATTGGTAATTTGGTCTCCTACCAGAGTGGCCAACTGTCTTAGTTACATTTCTCATTTCTGAGACAAAATACCCAACACTCAATGTTGAAGGAGGAAAGGCTTACTTCATCTTACAGTTTGTAGAGGTTTCAGTCCATAGTCAGCTGACTCCAAGGCACGGTGGCATGGCAGAGGGGCACTGCAGAGCAGGCAGGAGGCAGCAGCAGCAGCAGCAGCAAGCCTGTCTGTTCCTTTTATCTCATCCAGCTACCAGCCTTTTGGGTGGTGCCAACCACACCCAGGCTGGGCTTTCCCTTATCCACACTCTTAATCTCAGCATCACACTTTTAATCCTAGTATCACATGCTAATCCAGCTACCTCTGAAATTACCCATCTATGAGTGCACGAGCTTTTGGAGGGCACTTAGATATGAGCCCTAACACCATCTACCCTAGTTTACTTCTTTTTGGGCTCCAAGTCCCACCTGCACTTTTCCCCTAGATGCCCTTTTATCTCTGGGTATCACTATCCAGAGAGTAATGAGCCTTCTAATAGAAATTTGGCTAATTTAGAAATACATGCCTGATGGCCTGAGCAGAACAAAGGAATAGCCAGTAAAGTTCTTCCCAAGTAGCTCCATCCTACTTCTTAAAACTTTTTGAGGCATTTTTAAAAATAGAGGCACTTGTAAGGGATACTGTTTCTGAAGTTGCTAAGGGAGTCCCCGGGCAGGGGTTCCACTCTGATCTTATGGGAGCTTCTATAGGAGCCCCTGGGAAGGCTCCACGCCTCCCCCTAAGGAGTCAGTGGGCCAGTGCTGCAGGTGCCCGTGGTTTACTAGCAAAATTGGGGGCAATTCTCCAATTTGGCTAAATTGGACTCTACCTGTCAGAACTAGGCCAGGCCATGTTTTTTAGACTCCTTGAGGTTACCACAAAGACTTCAACTACTCTTTATCTTGCTTCCTTGCTGCCTACAGGCTAAGAAGTAGGCCTCCCTTGTGAACAGGTGATTTTCCAGACCTATGCAAGTAGACAGGACGTCAGTGACCTGCCCCTCCACAACCCTGAGGCGTGGTGCACTGACGGAAGTAGGTTTTCTATAGGATGGCCTAGATCTAATGTTGGCTTGAGGAGCTGGAGATACAAAAAGGACAGCTGATAGTGAACTCTTTGCTACAGTGTTCTTTCACTCTAGCCTGCTCTCTCCTGTGGAACATACCTATTTTGCTACTTTTACTTGGTCCAAGCTCACTCTGTAGAGCCTATATGTATGTTTAATAAATGTAAAACCTTATTAACTATTCCCCCCATAAAAACAAATCCTCATGGTAAGCACAAAGCAAAAATTATGGCAGATAAACAAAAAATAAAACTCAAGGAATAGAAATAAACCACTAGAGAAAACTGCTTAACCATAAAAGAAGACGGTATGAGAGTAAGAGAACAAAGGGTCTATAAAACAACTAGATGGGTAGGAGGGGTGATGCACACCTGTAATCCCAGCTTGCAGGAGGCTGAGACAGGAGGATTGCCATGAATGTGAGGCCAGCTGGCCTGAACTACATAGTGAGTTCATGTCCAGCATGAGCTACATAGTAAGACCTTGTCTCAAAAAAACCAAACAACCCCCCAACAAAACTAGCAAACAATGAACAAGATGATGATAGGAAGGTGTCACCTATCAGTAATAATCCTAGATGGAAATGGAAAGGTATGAATTGTATTCTAAGTTTATAGCAGTTAAAATTAATGGGCTAAATCCACACTTATCAACATGGATAAATCTCAGATACACAATGTTGAACAATTAAAAAAGAAAATTCATGAAGGCATAATATTATAGCATTTACATAAAAGTTGACAACTTGAAAAACAACATTATATGATGCTTATGATATAGAGTTATGTAGCAGTAGTGTCAGATGCATCCCCCCAAATAAAAATCAGGACATGGTGTGTACCATGTACCAGTTTCTGTCTCTCTCTCTGTGTCTCTGTCTCTCCGTCTCTCTCTTTCTCTCTCTCCCTCTCCCCTAGGATCCAACATATGCTAGTCAAGCTTTAATCAATTACTGTCTGTTAGAAAATCAAGTGCTTGTGTCATGAAGGTATAAATCCTGGCACAGATCAAGGAGGAAGAAGCATGTGTTTCTTCCAAAACTTAAGTAATTGCTGTGCTTATTTTTTTCAACCTAAATTCAACTGAAGAGAGTAAGAACAGAGAACCAGGGCTTTGGGGAAAAGGGACAGAGATGAGGTAGAAAAAATGCTGTTAGAATTCTTTATTACCAGTGAGGATTTTTGGAAATGTGAAATTTGAGGTGAGAATTGAGAAAGGTGTCAAGCAGCCTGGTGAACATAAGGAGAGAATATCAAAGAGAATGGGATGATGAACACTTTGCTTAAATAGTTAACCATTTAGGATTGACTCAAGGAAGCCAACAAATACCATTTTATACCATTCATGCACATAAATCAAAAAGAAAACCCAAAATGCACCAGAAAAATAAGAGGGAGAAGAAATGAAATCTTTCTCCAAAAGCCGTCACCTAAATTCTCAATAGTTGGAGTAGGGTACAAGAAAACTAAGAAAAGGATTTTAGGGGTGGGAAGGATTGATATCTTCTTAGAGGGTGTAATGGGATGCCAGCTGTGCTGTTCCTTCTTTCACTGAGATCTGAAACATTTTATGGTTGGGGTTGCTTGCCACAATGCTGCCTTCTATGAAAAGAAAACCTGAGCTTTTCTTCTGTGACATTCCTCCTATGTTGTTACCCGCTTCAGTGGATAAATAAGGTGACATGCTTTTCACTTCATTAGAATTTACTCTGTATGTCACAAAGGAAGTAACTCTTGCTAACATCTGTCTGAGTAATTCATCTTCAGTTATGGATTCCCCTACTCAATGTAAGGGCCTAACCAGTTAGTGAAAAAAGTGTTGCTAATGTTAGCCTCTAGCAGAGTATTCATGATGACTTAACTGCAGTCCTCAATGAAAGTGCTATTACTCCAGCCCTCCCGGATGACATTTTTATTCATTGACTTATGTACCCACAATACTCCAGAGTATCACCATCCACTTACCACACTCAAATCCTGGGGTTTCTGCTCATATTTTCAAATTAGCATAAAGAAATGCAAAACCATAAGCAAGGAGAATCCTCATAGATTACTGCCAAGAGGGTTTGTGGCCTTTTTTTGCATACATAAAAATATTTTGATTTTCTAAAACATGGAGTAGTTCATTAGGCTTGTGTAATTGAGTCTTGCTTCTAATGGGAGTTGGAAGCATAAGTACAGTAAGTGAATAAAATACAGTGAAACTCTCATTTTGACTGGATAAAGTAGCAATGTAGGCACAAGGTATGTCTTCATCTCATTCTCTTTATCTTTTATCTCTTTACAATACCTTCAAGAAAGCATCAGATACAACTACTTCCCCCAAAATCTTTTTAGTCCTCTCCTTCCATTCATCACATTCTACTTCACTTTGAGGTCCTGGTCCTGCTTCCTGGCTGCCTCCATCATTAACATTTTGCTTCTTTCTGCTTGCTAATGAGGAGTAAAGGTGTACCAAGTCAAAAGGCTGAGTTTCCACATGTCTGAGAGAGGTCAGATTCCATCTGAAGCATGGATTCAGGGCAAGCTCTGGGGACAGCTGCAGGTTTGCTGGAATGCATTCCTACAGGCTGGGCCAGGGGTCCGGGCTCACAGAGCAGCATCTGCTGTGGAGGACCTTGGTCTCTGCTTCTCATGAGCTTGACTACATGTCAGGACTGATTCCTTGCACTTAAGGCATCTGTCACTTTAAAAGTGCCTGCTCCTCTAAGACGTGGTTTGTTAAGTCTTTGGACTCAAAGAGTAACAAATGTTTTATTTTAAAGCTTATTACTCAGGAAAGACAAAAACCCAGAGTATTTTGACAGAAAGAATCTAGTGTGAGTAGTTGACTAAACATGTTGGGAGAATAAACAATTTTAAAAAGTGACAAAGAAATAATAACTCCAAGAAGCAGCTATGGCCTGTAGCATTGGAAATCAAAGAGGACATGAGGCAGGGGTTATGAGAGTCCAGAAGCTTGGACAAAGGGCCCATAGAGCAAGAATTCAGACCTCTGAAAAGGAATACTGCTTAGCTGAGGTTAAAGGACAAGAGAAACGATGTGGCTGGTTTGTTCTTTTTTTTTGAGACAGTCTTCACTATGTAGTTCAGGCTGGTCTGGAACTTGCGGTGATCCTCCTGCCTCAGCCTCCTGAATGCTGGGATTACAGTTGTGCACCACCATGCCCAGCCAGATGTAGGCTGGTTTTGAAGCGCCATAAAAAGCTGGACAGGAAACGCTGCTGCCAAAATGAAGGGCCGTCACTGGGGTGGTGCTGGCAAGCCCCGTGGCCAACAGGAAGGGGCAAGTTGTTCTTGGCTCCCCGACCCTGGTGCACTTCCTCCAGTGTCCCTGGTGGCCAGATGACAGAAGTGTGGCTTGCACAGGCCCAACCCCATGGACACAAAGGGGAGGGGAAAGTGTAGGTTTGTGGCTGAAAGATAACAGCTCAACTGCCAGATGATACTTTCACTAGAAGCATATACTTTGAATTTTTCAATTGCATTCTTTTCTGTTTTACTTTTCTGTACAGTACTGCTTTACCACATTGGAAATATTGAAAAGCTGGAGGAGCTCCATCACACTGGCTTCATGACTTTAACAGTAGGCTGTGACCCTCAGTGAGGACAACTCTGCTCTGCCTTCAAAGACAGCAGGACTGAGCACCCGAGCTAAGCACTTCTGACCTCCCTACTCTTCTCACAGCAATGGTGACTTAAACGAATAATCTCAGAAGTGACCCCTCCATGGAATGCGTGTGGGGACCCACACCTCCACAGGCTTCAGGGACATTTACGTTAAGAAGCTGAAAACGCTCTGCATAAAACAGTACCCCCCACCTCTGGTTTTTCTTTGTACAGTTTGTTACAGAGAGGCAACTGTGGTTGGAAAATATTAAATGGAAAATTATAGGAACAAAGAATTTACAATTTTTAAGTAACTTTCACCACAGAAAACTATTATATATTGCTCTTATTTTTAAACTTCTTGCTAGGCCCAATTTATAAACTAAACTTTATTATCGTTATACACGTTTAGGAAAACCACTATACTTAGGTTCAGTACTATCCCCTGGGGTTCTTTGAATGTATCTCCTGCAGATACATTCTGCAAGAGAATAGAATGCAATTCTATTTTATTAAAATAGAAAAGAATGCAATTACCATAATATTAGCTGGAGGTTCAAGAAGTGAAAACTTAAAACACCAATCAAAATATTAAGTGAAAACTTAAACACCAATCAAAATATTTACTATATCTTTATTTGTTTTGGGGTTTGTTTTGTTTTTGTCTTTTTGAGACAGGGTTTCACTATATAGTTCAGGCTGTCCTTGAACTCACTTTGTAGCCCAGGCTGGCCTCAAACTCACAGCAACCCTCCAGCCTCAGCTTCCCAAGTACTGGGATTATAGGTGTGTACCACCATGCCCGGCCTACCATGTCCTTATATATGTGGTATTTTGAAGGTGTTTAGGGGAATGCCCAGGAATACACACCAGATAATCTTGAGTGCTGGGGATTTAGATCAGTGGCACAGCACCTGCCTGGCAAGTGCAAGGTTGTGAGTTCAATTCCCAGTACTGGAAAAAAACCAAAAAGGAAAAAGAAAATCTTGAAATATGAGAAAAGACAAAAGCAACTAGTAAATAATAGATGTGGTGTCCCTACGCAGTAATGGTTAGTTGTGAAGTGATTAACACAGGCTGGAAATAACGTGAGTACCCATCAGGGCCATATGGTTATGAGAAGGACCTGGAAAGGTTTCATGCAAAGGCCTGAGTTAGTTTTTGTCCAACAGGTGAAATTTAGATGGGGAAAGAGAATTCTCCATCAAAGAGAACAGCAGAAGCAACAGTACCAGGCAAGGGAACGTAAGGCCTGCTTGGGGCAGTACTGGAACTTGGGGAGCAAAACTGGTGAGAGGCATGTATCAGGAAGACCTTGGACATGGAGAGGGTGTAGACACTGAACCCGAGGAACTATCCTCCCACGTCAGAGGCTGGTAACCAGCCAGTACATAACTCACTGAAGGATGAATAGAAAGCTTTGAAGAGGACCAAGGTCCTGGACGTCAAGGATGGTGATCAGCAATGTCAAATGCTACAGTCAGCAAGGAGATTGAGAGCTTGGGGTGAACACTGGAATTAGTCCCAGATGTGCTAAGCCTCTTTAACAGGTGGTGGCTCTTTTTTTTCCCCTAAAGACAGGGTCTCACTATGTAGTGCAGGCTGGCCTTGAACTCAGTGTGTAGCCCAGACTGGCCTGGAACCCTTGTTGATCCTCCTGCCTCAGCCTCCTGAGTGCTGGGATTATAGGTGTGTTACCACGCTCTGCCCAAGGTGATGGCTCTTGAGCACATGGACATTCAGCTCTTTCTTTTGGATTTGCATAGTGTTAAACTATCACTTGAATGGGCTCAAAGTATCAGGTAATGGTTCTTGTTAGTCTTTATTCCTTCCCAGCTGCCTGTGGCCTGTGAGGCATTTTAAGGCTGTGCTTCAGTGGCTCATGGTCCTCTTTCGTGTGACTGTCCGCCTTCAGCTCACTCCAGAGCAGCTATCTGCTTTTCCTGTTGTCACCCATTCTCGAGTGACTTGTCAGGCTGGGGATATAGCTCAGTGGCACAGCTCCCACCCGGCAAATGCAAGGTCTAGAGTTCAATTCCTGATACCCCTGCCCACCCCCCAAAGTTACAACTACTCAGTTATAGTCTGTGGCAGTGAAGACTTTGTGGTGTTGTTTCTTCAAGTGACTTGTCATGTTGAGCTAATTCCCTGGGATCCTGGCATTAAAGAAAACGAGGGCTATGCATTGGTCTCTTGCCTTTGGAGACCTTTTCAAAGATGCAGACTACACTACCACCCTGGCCAGCTGCCTAACAGACAAGTGACTGGTCACAAGGGAAACCAGATGAGTGCTAGGTGGATCAGGTGAACCTATCATCCCTACTACAAAAACATGTGTTCAGCTGGTAGCATACCAGTATCATCTTCTCCAGGTGCAAAGGAGAATCTGTTCATATACTCATTATATATGCAGAGTTGTGACCAAAGTACTACAGGTGATTAGGTATTGCTTCTGTAAGGATGTCATTATGGCTTAATGCTCACATTTTGTTCTGGACTGTATGACTTAAATGCTGTCATAGTTTCTGCATTATATGACCTATTGTTATGGAGACTCTGGTGTCTTTTTTCTCTTCCTAGATAACAGATTCCTGCTATTATCATTTGCTTCCTTAGCTATATTAAATAAACTATTATGGATGTAAGAGAATGGTTTTCACAATTGGACCCACTGTGAGCATAGCCTGGAAAGGTCACATACACCATTGGTTAATATTTATTAACTACCCTGTGGGCTGTATCAACTAGAATATGAAGGTATATACTGTGTTAAAAACGGAATTTAATAGCAGCATTTGTCTTGCGAAAGGCACTTTCTTTGCTTGGGAAAATATTCTGATGAACAATTTGGGATTGGTAGACAGCTAGGAAGGCACAAATTACAGGATGGAGATAACTAAAAATACCGTATAAAAAAAGAAAAGAGAGAAAGGGCCTGAGAGATGGTGGCTAGTAGGAGGTCATGACTTATGCTGAAGGGATGGAAGTAAGTGGATAAAAATGCCTTGGAGGAATTGAAAGACTTTAAGACCTTCTAATCTTAGAGTTTTTGTGCCCTTCACTTTAAACCCCTTGGCTGCTCAAAACCTTTAGAAGACTCTGTTATAGAGACAACCAAAGGAGAGGGGTTGGCCTCCACACTGTGTGCCAGAGAGAAAGGAGCTGCAGGTGAGACGCGAGGGAATCTGAGTGTCTGGAGAAAGCAAGAACTCAGAGCCAGATGTGACCCTGGGAGTATACGCCCCTAGGCGGGTCCAGTCACAGACAGGACACTGGCTTCTTCTGGAGAGGTAGATAACAGACTCAAGTCAGTTGCAACAAAATCTTCCTAACAGGTTGACCTTAACTTGCAACACACAGTAGTAGCTTGCTGTTTTGAACCTCAAGAGACATTTACTCCTAGGAAATGACAAAAAGAAAAAAGAAAATGACAAGGTCAGTAATGCATTGCCACCCCTCTTTTCCTATTAAATGTCTAGGCCTCACTTTCCTCATCTATAAAATCTGGAGGTTGGGCATAGAGTATCTATCAGGTTTCTGATAGGGCTGTGATAATAACAACTAACATTTTATGTTCCTTTTGGGAGAATTTACACACAATGAAACGTACAAATTTGAAGGATACAAGTTCAATAGTTTTGTTTTGTTTTTTTTTGTTTGTTTGTTTTTCTCCGGTACCGGGAACCGAACTCACGACCTTGCGCTTGCCAGGCAGGCGCTTTTGCCGCTGAGCTAAATCCCCAGCCCCAAGTTCAATAGTTTTGACAACTGTAGTAGATACTTCTACAACTGAAACCCTTACCTAGATACACAGCTTTTTCATCACTCCAGAAAATTCCCTCCTCAGTTAAATTCCCGTCACAGACGCTCTAACCACTCATTAATCTAACTTCTAGCATGATAGATTAAAAATATTTCTGAACTATTATAGCTATTGCGGTATAGTTATTTTAAAAGTTTTTACTCGTACATGTTTGTAGTACATAACGATTAATCCTTGTGGGGATCTGACACCTAACACACCTCAGCTCTTTTTCATCACATTCTCTTCCCTTCCTTCCCCCATTGTTTCATACTGCTTCATCAGCGTCAATGTATTTATTTCTCACAAGAACTGCGAGAGAGGTATTTTCAGTCTGCAAATTAAAACGTCGAAGGGCAGCGCAGTGGGTACAAGTCGTCGGCGCGCAAGCACAGCGGCAGCGCGTCAACTTAGAATCTTCCAACCCCACGCTGTCAACCTGCGTATGCGATCATGACCACCCTGGAGAGTTCACTAACGATCGCCTAAGAAATACAGCTCCAAATTCAATGGAGATCAACGCGATATACATGTTCTAAAGCCTCCTAAATAATCTTAAGGGCCCGTGTGCCTTGCCGTTTTATCAGATGCCCCGTTTCTAACCCCGCTCCCCAGAGACCGGCAGGAAGGACCGCGAGCGAATTCGGTTTGTTTGGGGACACATCAGAGCTGGCCGAGGCTCCACACCGCGCACGGGGCAGGAACAGAACCGTCGGCGAGCGAGCCGCTCGCGCCCCTGGCGTTCCATCCGCGGGGCCACAGCTGCGGGGCGCGCCCGGCCCGGGCACTGGCTCAAAGTGCGAACGGCCCGTCCCGCCGGCCGTCCCGCGCAGGGTCACCGTCTCCCCGGTGTCCGCGAGGCGCCCTCCCTGCCGCACGCCGCCGCGCCGCCCAGCTCCTCTCGGAGCTGACTCAGGGCCCCGGCGCTCTGCCCGCCGCGCGGCCCGCGACTGCCATGGCAACCGTACGCCGCCACCGCCTCTTCACGCACGTCGTGAACTAACGGACTCTGCGAGGCCCGCGTCCCACGGCCACCCTACCGCACCGCACCCCACCCGCATCGCATCACCGCACCACGGACCGCCGACCTGCCGCACCTAGGTAATGAGCCTGAGGGCGTGGGTCGCGAGCGGGAGGACGGCTGGTGAGTGTCCAAGTTGACAGCCTCGCCCCAACTCCCGCAGTCCGGGCGCCCAGGCCGTGAGCGGCGGGGTTAGGGGGCGCGGGCCGCCGCGTGAGGAGGGGGAGAGGGGCGTGAGCGCGAGGCTCGCGGGGTATCATGGGGATTGTAGTTCGACGGGGCTCATATGGCTCGCGGCCTTGGCGGGGCGGCTCGGACCGGCGAACTACAAAGCCCGGCGGCCCCGACAGCTGCGAAAGACGGATAAATTTTGGCGGACCCGGGGGAAGCGAATCTCAATCTCTTTGTTTTAAGGGGGCTGTTGGGTGGTCTCGGAACTGGGCTGTGTGCGCTGGGAAAGGGAAGTGGAGGTGAGACGAGGGCTTCCCGCCCTGAGTTTGGCCCGCCCCGGCTGCGGCAGCGCCCAGCCCACCCCGCGGAGCCGCCGCCCTGCCCAGGCTCGGGGAGGGCGGCCGCCCGCTGCAGGGCCTCCGGCCTTCGGCGCCTCGGCCTCGCCCAGGGCGCTGCCTCTTGGTGCAGAACCGCGTGTGCGACAAACGTTTGATGTGAGACTCGAGAAACCGTGTTGTAAGCGGGCTTGTCTCCTTTCCTGGATACGCGTTATTTCTAGATGATTAACATGCTCATTTTAAAGTAACTCAAAGGCATTTGCATATTCAACCCATCCACCAGTGATTGCTCAAAGGGCACTAATGTTCAAAGGGTAAGTGTAAGAGTGGATAAAAGATATCATTGCTGTTGTTTGGTGTATCGGATTTTTATCGTTTTGCACTTTTGCATTTTACCTATGAAGGTTGTGAAATGAGTCGTCCCCACCAGCCACATCTCCCCCATTGACCAGCCCACACAAAATTCGGTTCTATTTTAAAGCCTAGCTTAGGTTTAAACTTTTAAAGCCCAGATTTTCCCCCCAGTGGGAAGTAGTGTTTTCTTTGATTATTCCAGTGCTTTTCAGAATTTCTCAAGTGCATGTTTTCAGGATGAAAAAATACCATGTTCTATTTTTTCCTTTTTAATGCTGCGGAATAAACCTTTATCAGAAGAACTCACTCAAGACCTGGCGGTAAGGAGGCTGACCTAGATTGAGAAAACCTGCCTTGACTGTCCTTTAAAATTTTTCAGTATCTGCCACCACCTCCTAACAATTTGGTATTTTATAGGATTGGGAAGTTGTTGATAGTATTGTGGGCTTTTTTTGTATGTGTGTATGTTTAGAAATAAAACCCATAGGAACAGTGACACTATAAAATTCTTTTACTATCGATTAAAATGATGCCAAGGGGCTGGGGATTTAGCTCAGCGGCACAGCACCTGCCTGGCAAGCGTGAGGTCGTGAGTTTGATTCCTGGTACTGGAAAAAAAAAGGATACCGATTCTATAAATTTTACTTAAAATTTATATAAGAAATTTTTATGAGAAGGATACAGAAAGTAAGTTTCATGAGACTGTTAGGGAAAAAAGCATTATGCAGTATAGGGATTTGAAATATTCCTTCAGAATTTATTAAAAACCCATTATGTGCCGTGTATTAGGCCAGGTGGTGGGACTAAAGAGAGGAGCAAAAGCCCGTGCTTTGCATGGAAGTCGTTTAATCCTCACGGTGAAGGTATAAAGTGCTATGAAGAAATAGGGTTAGAAATTTTGCCCAAAGTCCGAGTTGGTAGTGTAAATATGGCATTCCAACCCCACTGGGTCTAATTCATAATAGAAATCATGATTTCAACCCGTAACACCTTTCTCCTTGCCAACTAGAAAGATTCTGTCAGGAGAGCCCTTTGGTATACAGTGGCTTTTTTGGTTTTGTTTGTTTGTTTGAGAGTCACTGTGTAGTTCAGGCTGGCTTGGAACTGACAGTTCTGCCTCAGCCTCCCCAAGTGCTGGGATTGCGGGCGTGTGCCACCACGCCTGGCCATAAAGTAGTTTTTGACAAGCCAGATTTTAAGGTACTTGGTACCATTGTCAGAGTTTGGAATTTTTCGTAACATGGGGCAACCGTTGAAGAATTTCAGAAGAAATTCTGGTGTCACTCAATGTATATTTTAGAACGATAACACCAGCTCCAGTGTGGACAGTGGATCTTGAGGAGGAAAGATTAGAATTGTGGTAGGGAAACCAGTTGTAGAAAAACAAAAAGGTCTAGTAGAGAAATGGAGAGAGTCTGAAGTCAGCAGTTGGAGTCTCAGAAAGAGATGGATTTGGGGAACATTTAAGAGGGAAACATGTGATTTATGACTTTGGATGTCTAAGACCGATGATGCTAGATGACAGAAGACAGTGAAACTGTTGATTGATGTGGGAGTGGCAAGTGTTTGTGGAGGTGAAAGGCAAAGGTAAGTTCAGTTTGGAGTGTTCGTTCAGGGTTTCTTTGGCGTGTTTCTGTGGGGATACGTTTAGGTTTGGAGTTCCGGGAGGTCAGGACTGGGTATAGTTTACACATAAGTAAGCAGTTGAAGTTACAGGAGACAGTGGCCCAGCTCAGCTCGGAGGAGTGAGTAGAAAAAAGAAGCATGAACGTGGAGCTCCCTGGAAGCGGCATCATTTAAGGTGTGTGTGTTGGAGAGGTGGGAGAAGGGCCCACAGATGAGAACGTGGAGGTTGTGCAGAGAGGAAGAACTGGAAGAGAGCATCACAAACCACAAAGGGAGGAAAGTGGGAAACCGCTTGAAGAGTGAACACGTAACCTGTTCCGCTTCTTCTCTAACTGCTGCCCTCCACCTGGGCTATTTTGAAGCTGAACTCCACTATTGCATCTTTATTTGTCCATAATATTTCAACATATATCATAAAAAGTTCAAGATCCTTTTCTTTTTTTGAAAAAAAAGTGTAACTCTGCTCTCTGTGTCTTACTTGACAATACTTAATATAAAAGTTCCGGTTACATTTCACTTTGAAAGACTTGGCTATACAGAAAAGAGATACAGTCATTAAAAGCGGTTTGTGAGGTTGAATTTTTGTTTGTTTTGTTCTGAAGATTGATAAGCCACTGTATTAGAGAAGGAGCCAATAAACAGGCAGTATTTGAGGATGTAGGAAATGAGAAGGGAAGAGAGAACTGATAGAGGTCCCAGAAAATGTAGGAAGGAATGGATGAGCAAGGTAGAAAAACTGGTCTAGAATTGGTCACGTATGGCAGTTGTCAGTCAGGTGCTGTGTTCCTAGGCAGTGTGTAGAGCTGATAGGAGGAGGGGCTCAGAGAAAAGAAGTGAAAGTGGATATATGCACTTGTAGGCTGGGTTGTAAAAAGAGAGAGAGTTCAAAGGTGATAGTCCAGGAATAAAAGCCAGCTGACTAGAAGATTATGGTTTCAGAAGGAGAATGGAACAACCACTGTGGAAAAGAGCTGCTCTAGGGCAGGTGAGAATTGTCTCACTGACCCAATAGAAGTTGGTGGTTTACAGTGATAGCAAAATATAAGATTGTGTGAGTTTTCTCCATAAATTTAGGTTGATCTAATAGGAAAACACGTACTTGAAGCAATCAAGTACTTATTAGTAGACTAATAAGTAGCCGAAGATAATCCAGGCCTGGAACTGAAAATTGGGTCATTCCTGGACAACTTTAGATGTATTTTCTTAATAACTATTATCTCTTTACCTAACTATATTAATCTTTTTGATTCACACCTTATTTTCTCAACATTGAAGTGATAGCTCTTTTATTGAGAACATTTTCCCCAAGTGTCATTTACTGATTGTGGTGTAGTAGGAGATGTCAGAAAGGTCTGTTGGCCTCTTCTGGACTGTTGTGTGTTTTCTGTGTGGTCATAGGCAACTTTCCAAACCTGTTTCTTTATCTTGGAAGAGGTGTCAATACTGTTCTGTGTCATTTGGGGGAAGACTAAACAGTTTAATTGAGGTAAACTGTAAGTGCCCAGTAAGTACATGTGTTTCTCTTCTCCTTCTCCCCTTTTCTTACCAAGTGTGGCAGGACTGTCATTCTGTCCTGTGATTTTGTCTGTACAAGTAGGTGTATCAGCTAGTAGCTACATAACAGAAGGATGACTTACTTCTTTCAAAGGATTCATCAATTATATTTAAAAAAAAGAAGCTTCCTTAAATGTTATAAAATGTTATTTTATAGGCCTTAATAGTGACATTACTTTAGCTTTTTTTTTTTAATCATAAAAGAAAGAGGAAGATACAGGAAATTACTTGACATCCCAATAGCTCTAAAATTCTTTGATTCTATCTCATTTTTGGGCAGATTTATTTTAAACTTGTACTGCTGTAATAGCATCTGTTTGTTAATGCAAATAAACATGTATTTTAGTGAGCTCAGCATTATTAAATATTTTTCTCTCTAATGATAACCATACCTACATCTGATAGGCCTATGGAAAGTATACCTTAGACTGTGTAGTAAGGTGTATATAAGCATTTGCCAGATAAATTCAAGGAATATGAGAGTGGTTTTAAAAATGGAATAGTTTTCCAAGGTGGGTTTAATCCCTTCTGGATGTCTTTTAATATGTTTCTTTGCTAGGGTTGGTTTCATTATGGTGTTACTTGAAGGTATGTGTAATGGTTGGTACATAGTGTCAACTTGAGAAGTCTAAAAGTTTAATTAAGGGACTCAGCAGAGGGCCAGGGTCCTTAATTTGTAAACATCCTGAGCTTGTGGAAGAGGAGGTCAGGGGGATGGTGTGGGCATATAGCGGTGTATAGTATAAGGGAGGAAAAAAGCTGCCCCCCCCTGCACTTTTGCTCTTGCTGCTTTTGCTGTCTTCTGCCAACTTGAACTGTTGCCCCTGGGCCATGCCACCCTGCCTTGGAGCCAGCTGGTTATGAACTGAAACCTTCACAAACTGTGAACTAAATAAACCTTTCCATCCTTCATTTTGGGTTTTGGGTATTTTGTCTCAGCCACAAGAGAAAAGTAACTAAGACAGTATGGGAAAGGAACAAATGATCTTTGAAGTCCCTTTCAAACTTTGTTTCTCCATTAAAAGCTCCTACTAAGGAGCCTATCAAAAATGAACTTTATTTTTAATATTCTTTTGGTATGAAACTATTTATTTATTTTTGAGACAGGGTTTTGCTGTGTAGTTCGGGCTGGCCTTGAACTCCCTATGTAGCCCATCCTGGCCTAAAAACTCACAGTGATCCTCCTGCCTCATCCTCCATGCTGGAATTATAGGTGTGTGCCACCATGCCCGGCTTGAAACTATTCTTACAGCTTTTAATCATGTCTGTGTTTTGTTTTTGTGTTTTATGCTTAATTCTCAACACTAATTGTATTTGCTTTGTAAGATATTCTAGACTTCTTAAGAATGATCGTTCTATGGACATTTACCCAGCACATGTGCCTTGTATTTCAGTTTAAGACACATTGTTGTGTGTCTCTGTTGCATATTGTACCAATCTCTGGTAATACACTAATAAACCCTATCCCTCTCCTAAAGGATCTTAGGATCTCCTAAAGGCATTGCTTAATAAATTACCTAGTTGTGGACTACTCTTTTAAGGAGATAGCATTAAAAAGCAATGTATTTTATTTCATACCTTTCACTTATTTGAAATACAAATGATATATCTTGTTTGCTGTATTTCAGCACCCTTTTCTTTTTTCTCATTTATTCCTCTGTCCTAGGAGCATCTGTATACTTCATTATCCTTTTCTTCCTGGTGTTTTTCCTTTTGTTTTTTCTTGGTGCTTAGGAGGTTTAAAGAGGAAAGGAAGGAGAAAGAGCGACCTAGTAGATTC